CATTTCTCGGTCTTCTCATTCTTTATCATCACACGAGTGGCGGTCTTCCCTACATTACAGTACAGTAACACAACATTGAGAAATGAAATGAGAAAAGGCTGTTAATCAATATCGACATAGCACCATACTCATCTGCAACAAGACAACTTAAATGAAATAAGAGATATGAAAAAAAAGTTGATAAACACTGAACAGAACATTGCACCGCCACAGCGGCTGTTTGGCTAGTACTGTAGGTAAATTAAAAAATTTCAGTAGAAAATGCGGAAGACTAAACCTCGACATATCAGCTTCAAATTTGGCATGGAGTCTTAGATATGTATAAGGAACAATGCCTGAAGAGTGCAGCTTTGAGCAAAATTTCACTGCCCCTACTGTACAGTGTACAGTATATCATTTTTCCTTCATCACTTCCAGGTAAACATAACAAATATTTCCGTATACTAAAGCCATTGAAGCAGCTCATTGAGATCACCAGTACTTACAAGTGAATTATCCTTCTCTTCTCGGCTTAACGTTTAGCAAATAATCCCATTGGTCCATCCCTGGTGAATTATGTAATCCAGATACAGTTGAATAATTAATAGCCACTCCGGAGCTCAATCGTCGCGTTAGAGCAGTTTACTTGTAGTAGGATTAATGGCTACCCTTCAGCTCACTTCCGGCAGCAGATGTAACCCCCGTATCTTAGAATTAGTCTCCACCCATAAGCTCAGCTGGGCGTCACAATACATCACGTTTTGCATCAGGTCATAACAGCACTATACTCACCTCGCCTCCACCTCTGACCTGAACTACGACCTACTTCAAGCCAATACCTGGTTACGTCAACACTTAGATCACAAGTAACTGTCATTTTATGTCCTGTAGGGTAGTGAGGAACCTGTTGGAGGAGAGAAGAAGGGGATAGGAAGGGAAAACGGAAGGCAAAAAAAATAAAGACATTAAAAACTGAGTGAGTGGCAATATTATAGGGAATAAAGGATCGTACTCTGCCAACTACCCCACCCTCACCATCCTACTCCCCACCCTCACCATCCTACCCCACTCCCCACCATCCCACCCCCCACCACCATCCCACTCCCACCTCACCATCCTACCCCCACCCTCACCATCCCACCCCACCCCTCACCATCCTCCACCCCACCTCCACCATCCTCACCCCACCCTCACCATCCTACCCCACTCTCACCATCCCTCCCCACCCCCACCATCCCACCCCAACCCCCACCCATCCCACCCCACCCACCATCCTACCCCCAACTCACCATCCTACCCCACCCCCTCACCATCCTACCCCACCTCACCATCCTACTCCCACCCTCACCATCCCACCCCACCCTCACCATCCCACCCCACCCTCACCATCCCACCCCCACCATCCAATCCCACCCCTACCATCCCACCCCAACCCCACCATCCACCCCACCCTCACCACCCCACCCCACCCCCACCATCCTACTCCAACCCACACCCATCCTACCCCACCCTCACCATCCAATCCCACCTACCATCCACCCCACCCTCACCATCCTACCCCACCCTCACCATCCAATCCCACCCCCTACCATCCTACCCCACCCCCACCATCCCACCCCCACCCTCACCATCCTACTCCCCACCCTCACCATCCAATCCCACCCTACCATCCACCCCCAAATCCCACCATCCCACTCCCCACCCATCCCATCCTACCCCACCTCACCATCCAATCCCCCCCACCATCCCTACCCCCACCCTCACCATCCCACCCCACCCCTCACCATCCAATCCCACCCTACCATCCCACCCCACCCCACCATTCCCACCCCAACCTCACCATCCCACCCCACCCTCACCATCCAATCCCACCCCCATCCCACCCCAACCCCACCATCCCATCCCCACCCTCACCACCCCACCCCACCCCTCACCATCCTACCCAACCTCTACCATCCTACCCCACTCACCATCCCACCCCACCTCACCATCCTACCCCACCTCACCATCCCACCCCACCCTCACCATCCTACCCCACCCTCACCATCCTACCCACCCTACCATCCATCCCACCCCCACCATCCTACCCCCACCTCACCATCCTACCCCACCTCACCATCCTACCCACCACCATCCAATCCCACCCCACCATCCTACCCCACCCCCACCATCCCACCCCACCCTCACCACCCTACCCCAACCCTCACCATCCAACCCAACTCCACCATCCCACCCCAACCCTCACCCATCCCACCCCACCCTCACCATCCTACCCCACCCCACCATCCCACCCCCACCTCACCATCCCCCCACTCACCCATCCCACCCCCAACCCCACCATCCCACCCCACCCCACCATCCCACCCCACCTACCATCACACCTCCCAACCTCTCCCACTCCACCTCACCATCCCACCCCAACTCCACCATCTACTCCCCATCCCCACCATCCCACCCCACCCCACATCCTACTCCACCTCACCGTCCCACCTCAACCTCACCATCCCACTCAACTCACCATCCCACCCCACCATCCCACCCCACCCTCACCATCCCACCCCACCCCTACCATCCCACTCCCCACCCCCACCATCCCACCCCACCCTCACCATCCCACCCCACCCCCACCATCCCACCCCCAACTCCCCCACCATCCCACCCCACCATCCCACTCCCACCCCTCACCATCCCACCCCCACCCCACCATCCAACCCACCCCAACCATCCCACCCACCCTCACCATCCTACCCCACCCCCACCAACCTACCCCCCACCCCCACCATCCCAATTCCACCTCACCATCCTACCCCTATCCCTCACCATCCCACCCCACCCTCCACCATCCCACCCCAACCCCACCATCCCACCCCAACCCCACCATCCCACCCCACCCCCACCATCCCACCCCACCCCACCATCCCACCCCACCCCCACCCCATCCCACCCCAACCCCCCACCATCCCACCCCAACCCCACCATCCCACCCACCCCCACCATCCCAACCCCACCTCCACCATCCCACTCCCACCCCACCAACCCCATCCCAACCCTCACCAACCTACCCCACCCTACCATCCCACCCCACCCACCACCATCCTACCCCACCCTACCATCCCACCTCACCCCACCACTCCCATCCCCACCCCCACCATCCGACCCCCACCCCCACCATCCCACCCCACCCCACCATCCCACCCCACCCTCACCACCCCACCCCACCCCACCATCCGACCCCACCCCACCATCCGCCCCACCCCCACCCATCCCACTCCACCCACCATCCCACCCCACCCCCACCCATCCCACCCCCAACCTCACCCATCCAATCCCACCCCCATCATCCCACCCCAACTCTCTACCATCCCACCCCCACCCCCACCATCCTGCCCCACCATCCCACCCCACCCCCACCATCCCCCCAATCCACCATCCTGCCCACCTCACCATCCAATCCCACCCCATCATCCATCCCCACCCCACCATCCTACCCCACTCACCATCCTACCCCCACCCTCACCATCCAACTCCACCCTGCCATCCCACCCCACCCCCACCATCCGACCCCACCCCACCATCCTCCTCTACCCCCACCATCCTACCCCCACTCCCACCATCCTACCCCACCCCTACATCCGACCCCACCCCCACCATCCCAGCCTATCCCCTTTACTATAACAACCAACACTATCGCGTATCACCTCTTTTATTGTAGCACCAACAGCTAGTGGGTTATTCCATCCCCTTGGCTGGTTGGTAGTCTACGGACGCCAGGTGAAGAAGATACTATGCTCATTAGTTTGTTTTTCACGTGGTCTGTTGTAGAGGCACTGAGACCAATCTTTACTTCCCCTCTTGATTTCGTAACTCTGGACTATTCTGCTTGTGAGATGAACGTTGTTTCTATTGAGGTAGAGACAGATATGAAAAATAATACTAATAATGATAGAGAATGAGAAGAAATAATAGTTTCCTTCTTCCTCAGCCTAGAGAGAGGGGAAAAAAGATATCAATGGAGACTCTAGCCAAGCCGTCATTCACGTGGGACTTTGTTTACAGGTCTTAGGAGCCTTTTACAGCAAGGAAAAAGTTGGGTCAAAAGAGGTTTGTCATTGAGGAGAAGATCAGGAGGAGGAGGAGGAGGAGGAAGTAATTTAGGTATATAAGAGTCAAGGAGAGGAGAAGCAAGTGAGGTAAGTAGATGAATGAGGTAAGAAAAGAGGAAGGTGGGGACACATATGGTTTCTTGTTTTTATTTCTTTTGGGCGAAATTCGGATTTATGATACGTAACACAAATGGTTCCTCACCTTAGGTTTATTCTGGGAGGTAACGACGATAACCATGTTGCCATGTTAGGTTTGGATAGAGTAGTCAAATTGGGTGAGGTTATATTAGATTTGGTTAGGATAGGCTATGCTAGGGTAAGTCAAATTAGGTTACTGCCCAAACAAGATTTTTACAGACAATGAACGTTTCAAAATTTTAACCACAAGGAATATTTTACCTGGGACAGTAAGCATATATCATTCTTTATCATGAAACATTACTATTTTTTATTGATCTATGTTATTCCGTCTATATCATCAAAGAAGTTATTAAACATTGCAATAGTTATCTACGTATTTCCGCCACAGGAGAGAAGTCAAATGGTAAATCGGGAAAACAAATAATACCTGGTCAGTATTACAGCAGGGAAAAGCGATAGAGGTTAACCACCAGAAGATTCTGGTGCAGGAAAGTAAAAAAAGGAGAATATTCTTCACGTTCATATGTATTACGGCGTCTTTGGGCCACCCTTAGGTTCATCTCAACCAGGCTGTGACGTAACTTCTGGTCTGTTTCCGTTCAGACAGCACCTGCAAGTCTGGCAAAGAAATCATCTTGCACCTGGTCCTCCCACCAGAGGTTGTGAACACCAGAGGAGTGATGCTGCCCTGATCAACATTCAGAATTTTCCCCATATGCCCTGATCTTGTCATTCTTCCTCCTTGCAGCATCGAGAGAGTTACGGTGACATGCGGCCATGGGATCGAAAAATCCTTATATCAAGGGCTCGCAGTCCCGCGTCCAGAATCCTCGAGCAGGTCTGAAGGCCTGCCCTCCCTGTGTCTTCAGTGATTTTTTCCACACCATCCTCCTGTTATTTTCTCGAACATGACAGAATTTGAGGATATCGGTTCCCTGGAACCTGATGCCATCCTCTCCTCACTTGCAGTGGGTGTTTTTCCTTCAGTTGTTGTAATGTATCTCTGCTTATTGGCAGAACACCACCGGAAGATTCTCTGTGAGAGATCTTACCGCATCTTGTTATCAAATTTTCGGTCAACATCCTCAGTGTTTTTTGCTTTCCGTCTCCCTATGAATTTTCGACTCTCCTGCAGTGTTCTTGCTTCATGTAGGAGATCATCAAGGGCCACTTTCTACCACATTATTAATCTCTTCATTGCTGCCACCTTTCTTTGCACTTAGACCTTGGTGTCCTCTGACAGAATAGATGGGGTATTATGCACAGCATTTGAAGAGCTAATAGGCCAGGAGTCGTGAGATAGTTGATTATGAGGCAAGTCATCTCCTGGATCATTTTTTGTGGCCGCACACTAAGTGATTTAAAGAGGTTACTGGCGACCACCTGACCACTTCTGAGCAGATTCTTTGACCCACTCTCCGCATTGTCCCCAGACAAGTCTTTCCAATTTGTTAACTACGTTATTCACCTCATGAACAGTATTTTTCGACTGGGTTCACTACTATCGTCTGACATGTCGTCATCAGGTGATGGATCTCTGCTAATACTACTACTACTACTACTAAGAGGCAGTGTAAGGTAATCATAGGAATGCAAATCACCTGGGTTTGCATTGTTACAGTGGTGTTGAACATGAACATGGTAGACGAGCTCCGCACAGCAGGACGGAGAGAATGACACGTAAACATAGATGGATGAATATGAGTGCCAAAGGGTGATTTGAAGAAGAAAAAGGAAGACGAAAACAAGACGTGAAAGAAAAAGATGGAAAGACTGTTGAAGAGAGAGACAGCAAACTAAATCAATATGAAAAGATAATCAACTAACATACTAATGAAGGTTAAATTATCTTAAATTGATGCTCACTTGTAACCTTTGCCAACATGTCAAAAAGTAGTGAAAAACGTACAATTTTATTACACAGTCAAGGCATACTGTGCAATAAAAGTTCCATTGGCAATTTGCACCTGAACATCGCTAGGCTGAAACACCTATGGAAAAAAAGTTAGGGTACAAACTCCTGAATTTTGCCACTACTATCGCCCACCTCCCACAAAATTTAATAGAAAGCGACATTTTGCCTCGGTCCTATATAAAAAATTCTAGTATTTACCTAATCAAATCTAATCTTCCGCTTGGTTGAATAGGTTACAATATTCTTGATTAGTCAGGTTACTTTAAGTTGGTTACCTTCAATTGATTAGGTTAGTTTTTATTTGGTTAGATAGTCTGTTAGGGTTGGCAGATTAAAGATTTGGTTAGGTTATATTAAATTAGGTTTGAAGAGTCATCTTGTAATCATTTTGAAGTAGGTTATATTAAATTTGGTTTGGGTAGGCTTTGTTAGGTATTCAAATGAGGCTATGGGGCAGTCACATTTAGTTGGTTAAATTAGATTTGTTAGGATAGGCTATGTTAGGGTAGTCAGGTCAAAGTGTAGGTTAGGTTATGTTAGATTTGGTTTGGATAGGTTGTCTTAGGGAGTCATCTTATGTTTGGATATGATAGGCTATGCTAGGGTAGTGGTATTAGGTTAGGTTATATATTAGACTTGGTTAGGATATGCTGACCATACAAGATTTTTACAAACAAATAATGACCTGTCTCAGAGTACTGTATGATGTTATTAAGACATATTAGCATACACCCAAACGAGGTCATAAGGTTACAGGTGTCATGGCTATACAATTGGTCACTACCGAATCTCATAATTATAGTTAATTAGAAATGGCGATGTGGCGGCCATTTTCGTATCATAAAAATTTTGTGAATGAAATGTATCGGCAATAATAATAGTAATGATAATAATAATTATAATTAATAATGATAAGAAAAATAATCATACGACTACTACTACATACTACTACTATTACTATTAATAATATTAATAATAATAATGATAATAATATAATAGGCGTATCTCTGGGTATATTTCAGCTTTCTGCCTTCAAACTGTAGCTCGCATACATAAATAAAACACAGACACTGTGCTTTTACATAAAGAGAGAGACTCCAGTAGATCTGGTATTGTTAATTTAGAAAATGTTAGAAATAAAGAGAAAAACATGAATAATGACATTACTATTTTGGGGGTCACTAGCCTCGCTTGTGTCTTCTTTTGTCTTTATGTTCATGAGACCAAGCCAAGTGGTCTCGGTACTTGTGTTTTCGGAACTTACGCTCTGTCGGCCAAATTTTAAACACTGGGGCAGCAATACCGAACATCGGGTTACTATTTAGTAACCCGAACGCCACAACTCGAGAGAGGGTTGGTACGCCTTATCCAAGATAAATGTAAATAAACAGGTTATCCTCATTGTTTACAGAGAATTTCCTTAAGAAATTTGTCCATAGTATATTAAACTTTTGTTTGTTGTTGTTCCAGTGATGTAAGATAGGACTGACACGATTTAAATCGAGTGATTGAAAACACCATTAATCAAATTTTGCACTTTATTCTAACCCTGAGTTCTCGAACATTTCTTCTAAAAATATTTACGTAACCTAATCTGAACTTACAAATATTGGTAGTACCTAAACACAACCGGAACAACAATAACCCAAACGGTGAAATATAGCAGGAGAAATTTTTTTCCAGGGTAATTATCAGTGTCACAGATGACACTGTTGTAAACTATTACCTCAGCATCTACCTTGTACAATTGGCCCATCTTGTATCTTCCTAATATATTGGCGAATTAGAAATTGCATTACATCTATCTATCACAAACAAAAGTGCGTTACTTTCATACTTGAAGCTATAAGAGGATGATTGTAGGAATGCAATGCTTGATAAAATTGGAGAAGGGCGATGGGGAGACGAAAAATATTTGGAGTTGAAGGTACGACGTCACGGGTACACGGCGGTCTTTAAAAATATGTACATTTCCACTGGACCGGTTATTAGGACATTTATATATTTGTGTCTTTATTATCTCATCTTTAATTTACATATATTGTATTTCAGAGACGTTTTTCATCCATATATAACTAAGTTTGAACATTCGATAAGTCTTTCGGGAGCCTACCCACACCCGAGGACTTATCCTGAACTTTCATTAATATTGTCGGACTACCAAATGGTAACCCGACAAAAGGGTGCATATATGGGTGCTAGGACAATTGTCGCCGGTCAATTAGTCGCCGGTCAATTAGTCGCCGGTCAATTAGTCGCCGGTCAATTCGTCGCCGGTCAATTCGTCGCAGGTCAATTAGTTGTCGGTAAATTTGATATGAATGGTTTACAATTTGAACCTAACCTAACCTAACCTAACATTCATAGAGTGCCGTATAGGATTGTGCATTGCCTTGTGTTATCTATTTCTGGCTAAATTTTGTTGAGTAGTGACCATGTTATCTTGTGATTATTTCTTGATTGTCCGAGTAAGGAAATATCCTCTCTTGTTTGTCACCGTTGGAAATCCCTGGCTTTTGACTCTCCTGTTTTAAAGATCCTGAATAGGTTGGCCAGGACTGGCGTGACTGACGACGAATTGACCGTACGCCCATATAAGTGCTCTATAGTTCTTACTTATCTTACCAACACGAGAACATTTTATCATGCCCATCAAAAACTTTTTGTGGGCAGAAAGAAGAGCATTTATATTATTCTTGTATCGGCTCTCCTACCACATGACCCACTGAGGAAATTCCGAGGAGTTTCTTGAGTATTGCAGGCGGGGAAGTTTGGCAGCTATTGTTTTCTGAACACAGGGATTGGAAAATACCTTCGCGATCCAAAATGTCTTTTTCCAATAAAGGTGTGGATGCAGATTTTTTTCCCGCCCGACATTTCGATAAAGTTACTTGTATCACTTATTTATTGCATACAATCAGACATATGCAAGATAGTTAATTCTATAGCTCATATATTTAATATGGCAGGAGGACACTGTATTTACTACCTGCTGTAGTACAAATCACCTCTAAGATTCTCATACTGGCAGATTGAGTGATTGATAGACACGGATATACAAGCAATGTAAGTCAACGATAATAGGAAGTGTTTGTCTTGTGTTGCTTTCTTTTATAATCATTTCAGGTGTCGTCAACACCTATAACAGGTGTACAGTATGTGACATTATTAACTCTTTAGGTCAGACTGAATTATTTCTTATCTCTTTATAATTTTTCTTCCATTTCTCCCTCGTGTCTGCCTTCATTATTATTATTAGTGGTAGTAGTAGTAGTAGTAATAATAGTAGTAGTAGTAGTAGTAGTAGTAGCTGTAGTGCCATGATTATTATTATTATATTATATCCTATTCTTTCATTTCTTTAATTTTCATATTCATTAAACATTCTTTCCTCTTTCTTTCTCCTCGTTTGCTTTGTTGTAGCAATTTATCGTCGACTTTCATTTTCTACGTTTCTTTCATTAATTATATGCTGCCTCATCATCTTCATCTTTTCATCTTCATATAGTTCTATAAGAGGGAGTGGAGAAGGAGACGAGCTTGATAAATTTCATGAGAAGATAAGAACAAGATAGAAAAAGATATAGAAATTACTAAAGGAATATAAGAAAAACACTCTTAAGATTCGACTCTATAACTCGGGGTATCGAACCCACACACCCAACAATTGATATTCTATGAAGAACATGAAGAGCCAAGAAACTCATTCTATACTATCGAAAAACTCATCAAGAGGAGATAATTCCCGCGTCTATTGTCAACACAGAGGCGTTATGTACCAGCAGTCAGTCCTCCACCCCAACCGCCACCGCGCCATTCCTCGTTATGTGGGCCAATTGTAAATCTTCTATCTTTCACCACATTACCTCTAAGCTACGGTGGGGTTTTATTTAGACGAGCGAATAAAGGAGGTTGGGGGAGGT